AATCTAAGCAGCCCGACTGTCTCCAGAGAAGTTTCCCAATCGCTTGGTTCCCGATGCACGTTCCCGATCCACTTTTCAGGTGCGCATTCCAGCGGCTGAGGGAGGGTAACCTTTTCCCAAGGCACGGCGAAGGGCGCCCAAGACGTGCGGATCGTGCCCAGCTCGCGGACGCGATTCTCATGAGCGCCGAGAAGTCTCCGGAGTTGTGCGACCGGAGAATTGCGTCCGCCATGGGCACCACCCGCTCGACTGTTCATCGAGTCATGAGCGTCTACATCCCTGGAAATTCACCCCGGTCAGTCAGAAACGTGTGAACGTTTGCTGGACTGATGAGATGCTTTTCGTGAGAGAGGGGATTGTCAATCAGCACAATGAGCATCGTTAGGCTTTTGAAAATCGCCGTCTTACGAATGAAACGAATTTTCATTATCGTTGGGACAATATGAACATCTACGGTGAGATTATTGGTGATGAAGTCCACATTTATCACCTTCCAGGACGTTCCGACATAAGTAATGTTTGTTAGCTACTATAAAGAAAATGATTCTTCGAAATTTTCTTGGAATTCTTAGAAGATTGCCTCGTAACTGTCATCGGGGACAGTCCTGCGGAGCAAGATGTGCGGTTCCAGCACGATAGAGCTCCAGCTCATAGAGGTGGCGCAGTCGTGAAACAGCTGCACATAGCTGGATCGGGTGCAGGAACGACCGAGGTAGGGGTGGACATCGCCAACCACCTGTAGCGTTGCCTCCGCGGTGTCCCGATCTCACCCTGCTGAATTTTTTCTTGAGCGGGACTTTGAAGTCACGCATCTACGCTCAGCATCCAGCCCACCCCACAATTCCAACGAGGATCCTCATACTTTTCCCTGCCTTCCAGTCCTTTTGACATAGTCATTGTCGTTGCTGACGACTTCCGGAAAATCGCGAGCCATCCCCTTTTCATTTATCCGACAATGAATTAATCATTAATTATCTCACCAACCTACAGTTTAACGGGATTTTATCAGGAGAACTTGTTTGAAGAATCGCTAGGCATTTTGCCGCGATCTGGGAGAGGTGGAATAATGGGCCGTGGAAAATAATTAATGTAACAATGCTACACGAAACCGGTTGGAGATGTACTTTACTAGGCATGAGCCTTGCGTCCGAGTTATACAAATTATTCTTCGTCGAATTTGTCGTGATAGGTGTCTCACCTGACAATTCGATTGAATTCTAACACTGCGATGATTATAAAAATTCTCAATCGATGATGTATTTAAAGCCGTTAAATTTCTAACTCTCTGGCGAAACGCCTAGACTGCCGAGGTCACTTCTCTATTCAGTGTCTAACGCAAGCTAATAGATTTGAAATACTCTGGTTGAAAGACAGAGACTAAGTGATCGGGTGACGGATTTTCGAAGTGAGCTCGCCCCCAAATCCTAATGCCCTGATGTCGCCCGAACTTGCTCGATTACTCTAAATTCTACTATGGCGATTTTTCCTTGACGTTTCAAACAGACTTTTTTTCTGTTAAATTTGGTTAACCAGAAAAAAAGTCCACTGATAAATTTCGCTAGTTCTCATGATATCTGAGATAATTAACAATTAAACAATTGTCTTAGGAAAGAAACGGGCCATCGCTCTGATTTTCGGAATTTATCAGAAAAACACGCTCTTCGTTAATTATCTGATAAACAATAAAGTTTGGGGGATTTGCCCATCGATCATTGTTTAGAATTAAGCTAAACTCGGGCGGTTTTCACGAAAGCGATTATCGGAAAATTCCGACAATGTTCGGGACCCATCGGTCAACGGCCACCAGCCGAAATCACCGCTCATCTTCGAAAAATCAGCCCACTTACTCTGTTCATCACCGACTCTCAACGTGATAAGTTCGTTATCGACGCTCACCACGAAATCATCGGAACTCGCCGTGTAAAATGACCGCGTACCTCAAGTAATTGTATCTCAACTTAAAACATCAATTATTCTACATCACCGTAATTCAACTTATTATCAAAATGTAAATAAGTAACCGCATTGAAATTGACCGCGGGTTTTAATAAATTAACATTCGCGTGCCGAATAATTTCCGCGTGTTACCTTGCACACACTCACCTCACAAACTTCCTGGAACTTCTAATCCATCCAATCAACGCTGTATTCACCTAACAAATGTTCCTTCGAGGCGAATCGCGGAGTCAAAATCTGTGTGTTTGAGACAATCCACGAGAAAATGGTGCCAATTGAAGTGTCTCAACATAGTGAAATTCAAAAGGACGCCTCGTGGTGAACAATTTTCGGGGTTAACACGAAAAATTCGAGTGTTTGCCTGAGCAATAAATTCAGAACAGCAGGTGTTTGTAACCGAGTGAGCGGACACCTGAAGACAACCGCGCTCAGCATGCCGCTCGGATAATTCTCACTCATGTGCAAACACCTCTGTCTCTCTCGATTGTCGTCACCCGTGACGAATTATCGACCGACAACGCGACCTTCAACTTATTGATACATCAATCACCTTCGGTCGGTAGTTGGGATAATCAACATGTCGTCTGGGACATTGACCGAGAAAGCGGATTTGTTCGAGGATTCAGAGATTCAGGGAGTCATCCCTGAGCTGCTCTTCACCAACGCAGAGGAAATCAACAAGGATCATCAACTGACGGAGAATACTAGGGCAATTCCCACGGATAAACCAGAAACTAAAATCATCAAACTCGAGAGAGTTGGGCAGACATGTCTGCTCCTCTGAGCAAAAAAGAGCAGTGCCAGACGCGACTTCTCCTACGCAAGGTGGATAGCATTAGAGACATCAACAAGAATCTGGCCACATTGATGAACAACATCGGTTCGTTAACAATAGATGATCTCGAGGGCCAGGAGCTCATCATCAACACTCACTGGAGCGAGTTCCGGAAACTAGAGGGAACGTTATTCGAATTCTTACCAAATGACGATGAGTTATTTGCCAACAAACTCCATGAACGAGCAGCGGAGCTGAAAACAGCGACCCTAGGGCTCATCTACCAATTGAAAGGCCTCACAAAAAAAGGGAACTCCCAGAAAAATCAACGCCTCCTGCGCAATCATCACAGCAATCAGGCAACCAACTCTAGAGGAACGAGCTCAACACCTTCGATGGTAGATACTTCGAGTGGAAAAAGTGGAGTGATCTGTACCTGTTAATGGTCCAGAGTGACCGCATCATGCCAGGAGTGGAGAAGCTGGCTCGCCTCTAGGGCCTGCTGAAAGGGTCGGCAGCAACATTCATCTCAACATTCAGCGTCACGGCGGAGAATTATGACAAGGCGTCGACGAAACTCGTCAAAAAATACGAGGGTCCGTTAACTCAACTAGTTGGCTAATAAATGGCACTTGGTTGGATAATATCAGGTCCAATCAACTACCATGGCTGTTCACCGAGAATATCCTTAACTGCATTACGGGATTCCGCCAACGAACAGCTACTCAAGCCTTTCCATTGGTGCTGGCTCCCCACTTATTCTTATTCTAGAACTTCATGTCAACGACGTTCACCAAACGATCAGTGTTATCAGAGATCCCCCAGATCTTCGATCCACTGGTATTCATGGCTCCAGTTGTCATTCTCGGCAAAATCTTCATCCAAAATCCATGGAGATTAAAACTCAAATGGGAGGTTTCATTGCCGACGGATTACGTACGACAATGGAGGAAATTTCGAGCGGAAATCAACCAGCTACATCGGATAGCAATAACGAGATTGCTCAACTTATCAAAGGACACGATCAACATCCAGAATCCCGGATTCTCCAACGTATCCAAATCGGCAATGAGTGTCATAGTCTACATCAGCTCAATGAAAATCAGTGAGTCTGCCTCAACAATCATCGTATCACAAATCGTATCGTATCTCAAACTCACCGCTGCACTACTGCTCACACGTCTTGTAGATACAACTCACTGGATGCTCGAACTGGAGAACGTGGAGACTCACCTCTGGTCTGACTCATCTGTTGCTGTGGCGTGGATCAACAGCAATCCTCCAGAACAGAGTAACAGAAATTCAAGAGACGTTGCCAGAAGCCACCGGGAGTCACGCCAGTGGAAAGAGCAATACAGCTGATTCCGCCTCCAGGGAACGTGACTGGTTAAATCAAGAGCTAGATCAGTGACCACAGTTAACGACATCTCATCTGAAATCTCACTCGAAGAAAACGAACACCAGCTAATCCAGCCGCAGCTGAGGTCAACATCAACGCTCTAGCAGAGTTGCTGGAGAGATATTTAACACTCTCAAAGGTGCTGCAAGTGACAGCCACCGTCAACAGAACAATCACCAGGTGTTGAAGACAACCTACACCCCACTTACCAGTCCTCACACCAGAGGAACTCAATGAGGGGCGGCTGTTCGGGTAAAATTAATACAAAAACAATTCTTTGCTTCAGTCATCAGTATCCTCAGAACAGACAATCAACTGCGAACGAAAAATCGACTAGCCAGGCTGACTCCCTTCCTAGACGAGCTAAGAATAGTGAGAACTGGAGGACGGCTCAGAAACGCTAAACTGGATCATGACGAGATTCATCCGATCATCCTGCCTCGTCATTTACGTCTCACCTCACTGGTCATCGACGAAGCTCACCGATGAACCCTCCAGGGAGGGACTCAACTCACGTTGGCAATCACCCGCCAAAGCTACTGGATAATTGGCGGCAGAGGTACAGTTCGATCTCACGTCCTGCACTGCGTCATCTGCACCTGATATCGAGCTCAACAGCTGATGGGATAACTTGCCCCAGCAAGAGTCTCACTATCGAGAGCATTTCTCCAGACAGGAGTGGATTATGCTGGGCCAATGCCCATTCTTAAGTGGAAACCGACAAATTTTCAACCCGCCACGGTACACACCGCAGTCTTCGTCTGCGTAAGGACATCAGCAGTGCACCCGGAGCTGGTCACGCGTCGGAGCACAGACGCATTCATCGCAGCTCTCAAAAGACTCACCGGCAGGAGAGGAATCCCCCAAATTATGGACAGTGACAATGGCACCAACTTCGAAGGCGCTGCGAAAGTCCTCCACCAACTCTACCAGCAAGAATCACCAGAGAATCAACAACTCCAAGCTGCTCTTGCCACAAATGGAATTCGCTGGGGCTTCAGTCCACCACGAGCACTTCATTTTGGTGGCAAATGGGAAGCAGCTGTGAAATCGAAGAAACGTCACCTGAGAACAACACTGGGAGCAACGACACTCACCTATGAAGAGCTCAACACCATGTTGATCCAGATCGAAGCCTGCCTAAACTCCAGGCCGATGTCATCAATGTCTGATGGTCCAGACGATCTCCAAGCGTTCACCCCAGAACACTTCCTGATAGGTGAGCCACTTCAACTCATCCCAGAGCCATCGTACCTGGACGACAATCCATCCAGGATGCACAGATGGAACTTGATCACCAAGAAAATCCAACAATTCAGGTCAAGATGGTCCAAGGTATGTCTCCAACGCCACCTCGCCACCTACAAGTGGAATCACCGCCAAGAAAACCTCAAGGTCGGAGACATGGTGCTAGTGGTGGATGAAGACTTCCCACCAGCAAGGTGGCCACTAGCACGAATCACAGTCAAGTCAGCCTACTCAGAGGTAGCCAGGTACGCTGACGGCACTCCTAATCCAGAGGAGTACGAAACACGAGTCAGCACCTGGAATCGACCCATTACGAAGCTCTCCTACCAACAGATCCACCAGGAGAAAATCAACAGGAAAATCAAGGGGACCCCCCGGAAGGGCAGGAATGAGAGATGAGTATCATTTTTTCTAGTTAAACAAATCAACAAATCATACCGTGTGTTCCACCCCTTAGATCTCATCACCACGAAATCAACCTGTCAGAAGTCAATGAAGAGTATCAATAGTAACTCAGCCTAAATTCGCCACCGCCGATGGTGAATTGCCCCCGCGATGGTTAGAATTAAGCTATACTTGCGCTGTTTTGACGAAAGCGATTATCGGAAAACTCCGACAATGATCGGGACCCATCGGCCAACGGTCGCCAGCCGAAATCACCACTCATCTTCGAAAAAACATCCCATTCACTCTGCTCATCATCGACTCTCAACGTGATAAGTTCGTTATCAACGCTCACCACAAAATCATCGGGACCCACCCTGTAAAATTACCGCGTACCTCAACTTATTGTATCTCAACTTAAAACATCAATTATTGTACATCACCGGAATTCAACATATCATGATAGTGTAAATAAGCAACCGCATTAAAATTGACCACGGGTTTTAATAAATTAACAATCGCGTGCCGACTAATTTCCGTCTGTTACCTTACACACCATCACCTCACAAACTTTCTGAAACTTCCGATCCACCCAATCAACGCTATATTCACCTAACAATAATTTTTCGTTGCAAATGGCATTTTGAACTAAAATCATCTGATGGATAACTGCTGGAGGCCCAATGGTCGTTCAAATAACCATAAAAAACCATCGAACCGTTTATTGCAATTATTAAATAAATAATTGGGCTTATGTGATTTTTACAGAAGAATTCGCGCTACGAATTATTCGTTCAATCAACGTTAATTAACTGCTCAACCCAACGTATCGTTCACTGACTTTATTTCACACAACGCTTTCTCAACGTTCTTTGTACATTATTGTACATATTTGACGAGTGATAATTAAACGCGAAGTGATTTTTTATTCGACTGTTTCTTATTACACGATCTCCTACTCCTTACACAATCTTCAATTTTCCCACGCCCGACCACCCAAAATCAACGTCGCTCATCAAACATTGGTCCTTCGAGTCGGATTGGCCCAAAAAAACAGTGAAAATTGTGAAGGTATCGTGAACATTCACCGGACACCAAAAAGGACGCCAAGCCCTATCATAAAACTCAACGATCGTGTAAAAAAACCGATAAATTCCGACGGGCACACAACGCGAGAACAATAGATATTCATTGACCTCGCGCCTTTTTTGTTTTGTAAACATATTTTTGCTAGAGTCTCATGTTTCGTCCAGCGCCCGTGCGAAAGTTCGGTAGTGTTCGACTATCCTCGCTCAAAGATGTCACAGCATTTCGTACGCTAGGGACAGCACTCAACAGGTGACGCGGCAGCGCGCTCAACTTAATGGTCGATTCAGTTCAACGGTCGATAATACTCAACGGGCGGTAACGCAACGAGCGCTCGGGTTACCACCATGCTATATTCTGAAGATATACCACCAACGCAAATCAACGAGGCCAACGGCGAGGTTAATGAAGTACCTCCAATCATCGTACACGCTCCTGAGAATTAACCACCAGTCCAACCAGAACGAGAAGAATGGGCAAATGCCGTGGAGGACCCGCCGCTTTCAACCTTAACGAAATCAAAACGAGACTGTCGGAGATACCATTCCCTCCATCAACGGCGCGTGACTCAGCACCCTTATTTCCGGGAGCACTCAATCAATTGGAGTTCCTGGAGGATAAAGTGTGTGATTTTCACGGCATCTACGAGGAGGTGAGGCATATGAACCCCTCGGACACCACAATGGACGAGCTGAACGATCGGGAAACTTACTTGAAGGAAGCCTGGGTCGATTTTGCGGATCGATCCTAGTCCAGTTATTGGTACCTTGCCGTCAGTTCACAGCTAGATGAAGAGCAAGGTCTTCATGAAGACAGGAGAGTTAAAGAGAGAGCCCTTGAAGCGTATGTGGAAGCTCAAGGTGCAACTCGCAACGAAAGAGTGATTATCGACGGAGCGACCCACGACAGCCGAACAGAAAAGAGTCGATTCACCATCGTTTAGAGGAAAATTCTCGCAGTGGAAAGGATTTGCAGATTTGTTTCAGAACCTGGTGGGGAGGCAACTAGACATGTCACCTGCTGAAAAACTTGTGAGGCTGAACGAAGCCCTGCAAGGACCGGCAGCTGAGCTTATCTCCTCGTTCACAGTAGCAGATGCCAATTAGGAGAAAGCATAGGATAAACTGCAACGCCAATATGAAAATCCACGTCTCATTGCAGGGCACCTAGCCAATAGGGTGGTCAACCGGCCAACGATGGCTAACGGAGATGATCAACAACACTCATATCGCTCGGGAGACACTCGATCAACTAATCCCAGCACCGCTGGGATCGCCAAGGAAGAATTGGGCGAGCAGTTTCTCTTCCATCTACTCAAATGTTCTATGGAGGAGGACACACGCACCACACGAGAGCAAAAATTGGGTGCTGCCACGAACTTCGTGCCCTTGCAAGAGTTCGTCAACTTCCTGAAGTCAACCACTAGAGGCATGACTCCAGATGATCGACAGGAGTCAACGGGAACGAGAAGGCCAAAACCAACGTCATAGGGAAAGCCAACCCCACGGGCACGTGCATGGCATGCGGCCAAGACTTCGGCACATCAGAGCACCGACACTCAACCACCTAAACCTGTTGATTGCTGTGGCTATTGCAGAGCCAAGCATTTTATCGGAAGGTGTCCAGGATTCCAAAACCTCTCGCCGAAAAACAGGTTGGAGTTCATCACAGGAATGAGCCTGTGCTTCAACTGGCACACTAAGACTTGCTTCAAGTGCCAGCAACGTCATCATACACTGTTACACCTAAATCCACGAAAGAGGGTAGAAAAAACCAACGCATCAAATAACGCTCCAGAGGCACAATCAACGAGGGAAGAATCAGGTGTGAGTGTTTGAATAATTATATTATTTCTCTCATCACTCAGAACACCGATCCCCTTCATACACCCCGCAGGAGAGAGCAAATCAACTATAATTATCAACGAAACATCAACGAATTGAAATGCAACGAAACCAATCCACGTCAGGGAAAACGATCAGTTCCACAAATCAACGACTAATAGACAATAATCGACTAGTGGTCTTGGCTACGACGAAAGTCTCCGCATTCTCCAACAGTAAATTCCACACAATCGCGAGAATTCTCATGCTCTCTGTTCTATCAACTGCATTAAAAACGACGACACTCAAAAATCGACCTCATCGGAATTTATGGAGAACACGCATGCAAAACGAGAGGGATTATGACCATCACTCTCCAATCAACGAAATCGCCATTTCAAAATGTTGAAATCAACGTCCACATGCTACAAAAATGAACCTCACGATTGCCATCATTTTCATGCTTATCTACAGTGTGAAGAGCATTTTTAACGTACTCACCAACGAGATAACTCTGGGCGCTACCTTGTGCGATTACCACTTCGCACATCAACTGCAGCGCTCGGAGAATCGAGGACTAGAGTGCTTCGTCAACTCCATTCGGTGAAATAAAGATTAAACGCTAATCCTGACTACAGCAAGCTGTACAACGATTTCCTCAACGAGTACGAAGCACTTGATCACATGCGACGTACAACCGAAACCTCAGAACCATCAGCAACGTATTACCTGCCATATCATGGGGTTCTGAGGGAAGATGCAATAACCACGAAGCTTTGAGTGGTTTTCAACGGCTCCAGCAAAGCAACATCGGGTATGTCACTCAACGACATCCTCCATGCTGGCGGAAAACTCCAGGTGGATGCTATGGATGTCCTTACTTAGTTGAGAAGACATCGAATCGTCTTTAGCACCAACATCGTGAAGATATTTCGCCAAATCAATGTACACAGAGACTATTGGGACCTGCAACGTATTCTGTGGATAGATGACAACCAACAGATTGTGACTTATCAGCTGACAACAGTCCTATATGGGCAAAAATACTCTCCATGGCTCTCTCTGGGAGGCCTTCAACAATTAGTTAAAGATGAAGGTCAACGATTCCCCATTGGGATGATCAACTTCCAGTGGAATATGTTCGACGGTGGAAAGAGTTAAGGGATGAACTCACGTCACTGAACCAACTCTCCACTCCTAAATGGCTGAATTCATCGCCAACGATCACCAACGTACAAATACACGAATTTGTCGATGGATCCACGGTTGCCAAGGGGGCAGTCGTCTATTTGAGAATACAACAAGGCAACGAGACATCAACAATCAACTTGGTGTATGCAAAAACAAGGGTAACACCACTGAAAAGGATGACGATCCGACGCATAGAGCTCACCGTAGCCCTACTGCTGACGAAAATTGTCAGCTGGACTCAACAAACATTGGAACTTAACGCAGAAACATAGCTCTGAACTAATTCATCGATCGCCCTGGCATGAATCAATAGTAATCCCTCGAGATGGAAGCAATTCGTTCACAGTCGAGTCACGAAAATCCAAGAAGCCTTACCAACAGCCGTCTGAAGACATATTGGTGAAATTTACAACCCTGCTGACTGCGCTCCACGTGGCACCTCAACGAGCCAACTCAACGAGCATTGCTTGTGGTGGAACGAACCTGACTGGCTAGCGAGAATGCCGTCGGACTGGCCACAACATACAAGCAGGTCTCCAACGGAGGTCTCAATTGAAGAGAGACCAGCATTAGTTCACCCACTGGGTACCAACACAAGACAGCATTCATTCGCAGAGTGCTTCAACAGATATTCCACGTTATCCAAGGTGCTTCAAGTCACGGCGCCGATGAATCGAGTAATACAACGATCTCGCAGATAACCAACGCCAGCATCGCCAGAATTAACAACGTGAGAATTCAACGAAGGGAGGACATTCTGGGTAAAGTTAACACAAACCCAATGTTTTCAATCTGTGTTTCAGAACCTCAATCGAGTCATTCGCATGTCTCGCCATCATCCACTGGCCAAGCTAACACCAAGAATAGAGGAATAAGGAATTCTCAGGCTTGGTGGTCGATTGGAAAATTCGATGG